GGGTTCGATTCCTGGTCAGAGCACATACCTGGGTTGTGGGTTTGATCCCTGGTTGGGAGCATACAGAAGACAACCAATCCGCGTTTCTCTCGCTCTCTCTCCCCCTTCCTCTCTCTACGCATGTCCTCTGGTGAGAATTAAAAACCAACAACAAAAAAACACATTGGTGGGTCCCGGTGTAATACCATCACAAAAAGATGTCCATAACAGCCTGCTGTACCACAGAATATGTGCAATGCAATCCAGTTTTGTAAGTTTGTGTGTATGTACACACAAAATGGCTTGAGTCTGTTTCCTCTTCTGTGAAACTGGCACCATGTTTACTTCCAGGACTACCCTGAGAGTAGATGTTAGTATACCTAGTAAATATGAGGTCCAGCTGCTACTTTTATGTACACAGGGAAAGATCTGAAGGGTGCTGTGCAAACTGTTAACAAAAATCTGAGGAGGGTGCAAAAGATGCATCTTTTAAAAGAAACATATATACTGTACACAAGTATCTGCTGAATGAATGACTAGCTAATAGCCTCCTTCCCAGTCTCCCTTGCACCTGTCACCCCCACATCTTACTTTGAGTCAGTCATCATCTTCACCAAGGCCTAGAAGACCTCATATGATCTGGCCCCTTCTACTTCTGCCTTCATTTCCCTCACAGCTCTCTGCTCCAGCTGCTCTGGCCTCCTTGTTGTCCCCTGAATGTGTCAACCCGCCCCTTCTTCAAAACCTTTGTGCTTATCTTCCTTCTGCTTGAAACAATCCTCCCCTACAGATACTGGCACAACTCCCTCCCTCCTCATTCCCTTCAGGTTTCAGCAGAAAGAAGTATCTTGGCAGCTAGGTCTTCCCTGACCACCTCTTTCAAATTTCAGTTTCCTCTCCCTCCGCATCTGTGTTGCTTTAGTTTTCTCCATGACATTTATTATCATCAACGAACTACCTATTTGTAAGCTCTCTGAGGGCAGAGAGGTGTGTGTGTGTGTGTGTGTGTGTGTGTGTGTGTGTTCACTATTTCCTTACTATGGAACAGTGTTTGGTACCTAATAAGCGTTCAATAATTATCTGCTGAGTGAATGCCAAAGGGATTCCCCAATCACTGGGCTTAGTATCCCTGCCCTTTGGCTCTAGAATGTTTGAAAAATAACAGCTATTATTTATATATTTTTGACGAAATGGTTCTTTTTCTTTTAAATGCTTTTATTGATTTTACTTTATTTTTTTAAATCATGTGATTTTATTCTACTTTTTTATTTTAAATATGTTTTTATTGATTTCAGAGAGAGGAAGGGAGAGGGAAAGATAGAAATATCCATGAGACAGAAACATCGATCCATTCCTTCTGCACGCCCCCTACTGGGGATTGAATTCCCAACTGGGGCATGTGCCCTGACCTAGAATCCAACCATCCACCTCTTGGTGCACGGGAGGACGCTCACTCCACTGAGCCACACTGGCCAGGCTTAACCTCTTTTATTAATTGAACACTTAACATGTGCTGACCACAATTCTAATATATGTATTAACTTATTTAAATTTCACAACACCAGCTCTTCATGGTAGGTACTATTTTTATTATTTTTTTTAAATATGTTTTTATTCATTTCAGAGAGAAGAAGGGAGAGGGAAAGAGAAACATCAATGATGAGAGAGTCATTGATCAGCTACCTCCTGCATGCCCCCTACCAGGGATTGAGCCCGAAACCCTGGCATAAGCCCTGACCAGGGACCAACTAGCAACCTTTCGATGCCTGGGATGACACCCAACCAGCTGAGCCACACTGGCCAGGGCAGACAGGTACTATTTTTTATCTCCATTTTACAGCTGAGGACATTTGAAAGCCAAGGAGGTAAAATCTCTTGAGCAAAGACCCACAGTTTGCAAGATGCAGACCTAGCAGTAAGGCTGCAGAACGTATCCCCCTCACCACTGTGCTGTACCACCTCTCTGAAAGGAACTGCTTCTCCACCCCAGGTCTGTACATGCAAGCCAAGGGTGGCACCGCCTCCCAACGACCAGTATACCTCTAGAACATAATGAACCTTCCAATGATGAGCCTTCCCACTCTCTGCATATATATGTTCAGATCCATCAAATTTTTTTACCCTGTGTCCTTCCTCTTCCACTTTTTGTTTAGCCTTTATTTTTTTAAAATGTATATACATATTTCCCTTTCTTTTATAAAAAGGGAGTATATAATAAAGGTCTCCTTTTGTCACTTGCTTTCACTTAATATATGCTGAAGCCCACGCTCTATATCAGTGTATAAAGATTCTCGTTCCTTTTTACAGATGCACAGTATTTTATTGTATAGATGTTATGTTTTTTTCTGCCAGTATTCCTATTAAAGAACACAGGGGGCCTGGCCAGGCGTGGCTCAGGGGCTGAGCATCGACCTAGGATTCAAGAGATTGCAGTTTGATTCCCAGTGAGGGCACAGGCCTGAGTTGCGGACTTGATCCCCAGTCAGGGCCTGCAGGAGGCAGCTGATCAATGACGACTGTCTCATCATTGATGTTTCTATCTCTCTCTTCACCTCTCTCTGAAATCAATAAAAATATATTTAAAAACAAACAAACATGGGGTGTTTGTAGTCTTTTGCTATTACCAACAACCATTGTTTCCCCTCCCTTCCAGGTGTACTCCTTATGGAGTACCACTGCCCTACTCCCGCCTTGGTGTATGACGACTCCCCTCACATACAGAATGGCCCCAGGAGTATCTTTCATTCATTCAACAAACATTAACTGGGCGTCTTCAATGTAACCAGCGCTGTGCTGAGAACACAGCAGTGACAGCACATACCCAGTCCCTGCCCCCAAGGAGCTCACGGTATTTGATTATTCAAATAGCCAAACAAATAAAGGTCCAAAAACAAATTAGACCACACGTGACACAAAGGAAAGAAACGGACTGAGGAGAGCGTTTAATAGGCAGATTTCAGGACGGAGGGCAGGAAAGGAGGGCTTCGCAGAGGAAGTGACGTTGGGGCTGAGACCCGAAAGCTGCATGGGAGTTAGGCAAGCAGAATGGGTAAAAGGATGTTGCAGGCAGAGGGGCAGCATGTGCAAAATTCCTGAGGCCGGAAGGCGCATGGCGAGTTTGAGGAACCGAAAGGCCAGTGCAGCTTATTCGAAGTGAGGCATGAGCAGAGGCGAGGCGAGGCAGAGGCAGAGGCGAGGCCGGCGGGGGGAGGGGGGGCCGGACGCGCCGTGGGGGCCACGTTGGAACTTTGCCCCGAGGGCCCTAGGGAAGCACGGGAGGGTCCCGAGCTGGGGAAGACACTGGGGTCCCAAACGTCACTGCTTCCTTCTCTTCGAAGCGCCCCTAGCCATCCCCAGCGCCTCTGCCGCCTTGGGGTCCCTCCTCCCTTGGTCCTTGGGCCCCCACGCCACCCCCCACTTACCGCTGCTCGGGCCTCCGTCCCGTGGCGCACCCTCAGCAGCACCCCTTCCCAGACACCGCCACCGCCATCTTCCGCTCGCCGCCTGGACACGGCGCACGCGTCGCACGCGCGGGATCGCCGGGAAATGGAGTCCACGCAGCAGGCCGAGCCCACCCCAGCCTCCAGCCTCCAGCCTCGCGACAGGCCTTCCCCGTCCCTCAGACTACTAGGGCGGCTCTACGTTTCCGGCTTTCGAACGTCGTGCCTTCTGGGAAGTGTAGTCCCCCGGCGGAGGCGCGGGCCTGGAACGGAGGCAGAGGGTTCTGGGAAATGGAGTTCACAGTGGTTCCAATCCCTGGACGGCTGGTGTTAGAGGCAATGGAGAGTCCAGGTGGCGAAGCTGTTAGGTCCTGGAGGTGGTCTGGTGCCCTAGCGGGGTGCGAGCAGAGGCCCCAACTCCCTCCACCTCTGGTCCCGACCATTTGTACAGTTCGGAGCATTTCCAGCTGTCGGAAGCTTCAATATCCCAGTCCGTCCAATGGGGACGCGGTTTCGAGGGTCTCTTACCGGTCCCCACAGCGGCAGATCTGGCCCCCTGGAGCCGCAGCGCTCTCAGGCCCCTCTCCTCCGCGGCGGTCGTGCGGAGCTTTGGCTCTTCGCCCTGGCCCTTCGCCCTCTCCTGTCGAGATGTTGAAACCCCCTGGGGCAGAAGGGCCCCGGAGCTCTGCCCTCGGGGCCTTTATAATCAGTGGTGTCTCCTACCGGCGGCTCCCTCTCTCTTCAGTCACGTCCAGCTCTCGCGTCCCCGGGCTGCGGCTCCCGGCGCCTGAGGTCTATCTCCTCGCGATCCCGCAGGGGGCGCCTCAGTCCGAGCGCGGGAGAGGAGCCG